CCCCCCAGGATGGTAACAGGGCTCTGCCTGTATACGAGAGTATCCTCGACGGGATAGTGGACTTCATCCGCCATTGCGTACTCCGATCCGTCGTGGTCGACGGGGACTTCAACGCTCATAGTTCCGTATGGGACGGGCGTCTCCGGCGGCCGCATCTGCGGGGAAGGTCCCTGGAGGAATGGGCGGCGACGAACGGCCTTTTGCTGCTGAACAGAGGGTCGGAGGACATCTTCGGTTGGTCATTGACCTGGCCTCAGCCTCACCAGGGGCCGTGGACCTTATGTCTACTTGGGCGATGGATAAGGAACTGAAGAACTTATCAGGTCCTAGATATGTAATTTGATCTCTGGCTTCTTTCGCCGTCCGGGAGATGTCCGACCGTCGCTGGACCGCGTTGGGGGGAAGACTCCCGCGACCGAGGAGATGGGTCATCGCGAAGATGGACGCAGACAGTTTCGAAGCAGCAACCCTCGCGGATGCATGGCACCTCCGGCAGAAGTAAGAGACAGGGGTATAATATAAGGGGGACCGGGAAATTGACCTCGATGTGGAGGCCGATAAGTTGCTCGGCATCATGGCGTCGGTCTGCGACCCTGCGATGCCACGTACACGCTGCTACCCCGTCACCCGCAGATCCGCCTGTTGGTGAGCCGCCGAAATCATCGAAGCTCGCCGGCATGCAGTTGCCTGCAAACAGGCCCTTTTCAGAGCCCAAGCACTTCTTAGAGCTCAACAGTGGGGAGGAAGTCGCGAGGTAGTTTGAGGAGTATCGCGCCGCGCGCCGGTCCCTCAAAGCGGCTATTGCGGAGGCAAAGTCCGGGGCCTAGGCGGAATGTATTGCCACTCTAGACTAGGACCCGTGGGCATACTTGTACAAAAAGATCGAAAACATATTGCGACCATGGGTGCCTCTCCGGTCTGAAGCGGCAAGCGGATCGAGGTAACTAGGAAAGCCTCGGGTCCTGATGGCATTTCCGGCCGCGCCTGGGCCCTGGCTCTCGCGAGGTTTGTGGACCTGTTTGCGTCGCTGAGGTACCTCTTCTCGAAATGTCTTAAACGAGGGATATTCTCCTGAGCCTCGAAGAGAGGCTCGAGAGCGAGGCTGGTCCTCATCCCCAAGGCGGGCGGAGTAGCGGGCAGTCCTTCGGCCTATAGGCCGATATATATAGTGCTGGGCGACGCGGGAAAGATGCTGGAACCCATCATAGCCAACCGCCTCGTTCAGCATTCGTTCCTGACGAGTCCCGACCTCCACGACGTCCAGTACAGTTTTCGTACAGAACGCTGCACCACGGATGTAATTATGCGCGTTCGTGATGTCGCCAAGGGCGTCGTCGAGGACCGGGGCGGGGTGTTGCTGACGGAGTTGCTTGAAACCGTCAATGCGTTTAACACTGCCCTGGGAAGAGATGGAAGTGGAGACTATAGTATCACGGGGTCCCCTCTACCTTCGCAAGTTAATTCGGGACTACTTCAGGGACCGGGACCTCACCTGTGAAAACCAAATAACCGCAACCAAAGATGCGATTCCCGGCCGGAGGACTGCCCATGCCGGTGTCCTACAGGGGGTCACGGTGTTAGCACCGTTCCTGTAGGACATCGTCTATGATGTCATGCTGCGCACGCTGCTCCTTCCCGCACAGGTCGTATATTACGCAGATGACACGTTAGTCCTTGCTAGGGGGGGGGGAGTGATCGCCTTTGGTGAGATTGCAGTGGCCTACGTCGTCCGATCCATCGGGCGGCTAAGACTTTGGATGGCGCCCCACAAAACGAAGGCGATCCTTTTCCACGATGGGAAAAGTGGGGCGCTCTCCGAGCCAACCTTCCGGTGGACGGGACCCTTGTTCCTGTGGAGGAATGCCTAGGCCTTTTGCTGGATGGCAAGTGGAGTTTCCCAACAGCATGGAAAAAACTGCGGGAGTGAATCCTTTCTGGGGGACGGACCACCCCCTGCCTCTTCTCTAATTGGCGGGGAAGCGTGGGGAGCGGGGCGAGTGTACCCCTATATAACAAGCTGACGGAGATAACCCGGGCGGCAAAGAGAAAATGTCGCCAGAGAAGCCGTGATCCCCCATATGCAAATGCGGGAAACCCGGCATGGAAGGGGGGGGGGGCGAATAGCCCCCCCGGGACGGGAAGTCGGGGAAGTAATACCAATAGCCCCGACTCCCCAAAGGAGGTTCCCGGCAGAGGTTTGAGTGAGTAGGCCCTCTTCCTGTGTGGATGGAAGGGGGAATGTCTCATATCACCCGCGACCTCTCCCCGCAGAACTTGCGAATATGTATAAAGCATTTCCCCCGTTTCATAAAAAAAAAAAATAGAGTCAAAGAGGAAGACAGAGTACGTCAGAGAGAGAGAGAGAGAGAGGGAGAGAGGAAGAGAGAGAGAGAGGGAGAGAGAGAGA